AATTCATAAATTTATTTTATTTTTATAATTTAATAAAAAATGAGAAAAATTATTACCACTAGCAAAACATGACATTTGTTACTGAAAAATAACCATAGGCACGTACCTAATTCAATCCCTTAATTCTAAAGCGGTGAAATTTGTTTTCAATTTCATGTTACAATCTTAGCCAAAGTCAAAATCATGTCTCTGTCATTCCCACAATCTAAGCAACTGGCGGAGCCAAAAATATTTTTTTAGGGGGTAAAATTTTTTTTTAACTAAAAAAATAATTTATTTGTGTGTAAATTGAAAAGTTAATAATTTTTTTTAAAAAAATTATTATAAATAATAATTGATTTATAGAAATAAATAATATTTATTAATTTTTAATGATAAATTAATAGTGATTGATGAAGAAACTAGTTTAAATGCCATTAATTGAATGACAAAACAAACAAATATAATGAGTAAAAAACCACAACTAAAAAAATAAAATGTTACTAATGAATATTTTGGAAAAAAACGTTACTAAATAATTTTTTATTTAATTAATCTACATTATTTTCATCTTTTTTATTATTTATATTTTCCTCAGCTTTTTTCATTATCACTTAAAAGTAAGGTTAAAGTACCATTTTGGTCCCTCAACTTTTCACTTTGACACTAAAATTGTCCCTCAACTTTAAAAAGTACCAAAATTATCCTTAAACTTTCATTTTCGATACCAAAATGGTTCTTCCATCAGTTAAGTGCTCAGGTGGCACGTTAAGTTGCCAGTAGATCAATTATTTTTTCTTAACTAATGACATAACACTTTTTTTATGAGTTGGTGTTTTATTTAATTTAAAAATAATGATTTTTTTTCCATCTATGTCATCTCTTCTTCCTCTTTCACTTTCTCTCTCTCTTGTTCCTTCTTTTTCCTCTTCAAATCAAACCAAAATTTGGGTTTTTCTCAAACCTAGATGACTCCTCCGACACCACTGAAACACAACAAAAGAGAAACTAAATTACAATCCAACAAAAAAACCTCAAATACACGCATTTGAATTTCACCAAATCAAGACAAATCACATGGATGCGAATAAATCAAAACGAAATAGTACCGAACCACCGGAGACTCGATCTGTAGCAAACTAGAACCCAAAATGCTGGCGAAATTAGCACAGAAACCAGCGAGAATTGGTTTAAAGAGAACCAGAAATTCTAGTTCCATCAAGACAAAGAAAAGTAGCAAAACCAGGACCAAGAATCAACGATAAGAGTTCGAAAAAACAGAACAAAAATGAAGCTCTCACCAGTGGCTAGCTCGTTCTTGAGAGAAACGGAGAAGAATCTTTAAACGTAGAGAAAAGATAGGGTTTCGAGATCTACAAAATAGATGCCATTGCAATTCACAGAGCTCCACAGCTGCTATGAATGTTCATGCGCTTTTCTTTATGCATGTTTGAAAAAAACCCAAATCTGGGTTTGAGAAAAAACCAGTTCTCAAACCCAGTAGGTATATATAGGCATATACCTACTTCAATCCTTCACTAACTTCAAATTAATAAATCTTGTTTTCAATTTAAGTCCCGTATCTTAGCCCTTTGCATCATGTCTCTGCCAACCGCTATCGCAAGACATTACCCTTGTTCCCACAATTCAATGATCATCATTTCGTGCCTGTGAACTATTGTTTTTCATAAAAAAACAAAAAAGAAACAAAAATTACACATTCTTTGTTTATATTTTAATTTAGTAAAAATTTATCAATATTAAATTTAACCATTTTTAATTTATAAATTTATTTTATTTTTATAATTTAAAAAAAGTGAGAATAATTATTACCACTAACAAAATATGACATTTTTTTTGGAGAAAAACAAAAACATGACATTTGTTACTGAAAAATAACCATAAAAACATATCTATTTCAATCCCTTAATTCTAAACCGGTGAAACCTTGTTTTCAATTTCATATTACAATCTTATGTCTCTATCATGATATCATTTCCACAATCTAAGCAATTGGCGGCTCCAAAAATAGTTTTTTAAGGGGGTAAAAGGTTTTTT